AAAAAAAAAAAAAAAAAAAAAAAAAAAAAAAAAAAAAAAAAAAAAAAAAAAAAAAAAAAAAAAAAAAAACAGCCACTACCACTAGAACCAATCCAAGTGAGCACAAAGAAAAAATTATAGTAAATTATGGGGGCATATTGAAAATCTGAAAATCATGAGTTCGATATAGCGTGTACTTAACGGGGCAAAAAAATCAAACGAACCTTCAAATGGTGTTCTCGTGCTTTCAATATTTTAGCGGCTCCGAGCAGCATTGCCACGTGTGCATCGTGCCCGCAAGCGTGCATTTTTCCCGCGTTCTTGCTCTTGTGATCCCACTCACCAGCTTCCTGCAAGAAACATCAGTAAAAAAATTCGAACTTTTTTACCCACCAATGTACCCATTACAGTTAACACTTTCGTTTTTTAACATATACGCATATTTTCAAACTTTCAAACTGAAATATCATACTTTAAACATAACATAAATAAAAAACCGACATTTTATTGAATAAACATAAATATAAATCCGACATTTTATTGAATAAGTATGAGGAGTCGAATATCAACCTAACTGTTAGACCGTCTCATACAAAAATTATGTGTCAGACGATTTATTTAAATATTGAAGTTCAAGAAATTCTCAATAAAAAATTTTCCTTTTTTAGTTGTCACTAGTAAGTTTAGATATGTTTTGCTCTACAAATCACAAAAAGGTCTCAAACAAAATATCTCACTTAAACAAACACTAATAAATGAATTAGCAAAACCATTTAGACAACTACATAAGACTAAAACAAATTAAATGTCCTCTGATTCCCTATGGTCCCCAAATTAATTTCACCTCACCATATTGCTAATTTTCACGTGCTTACAAAAAAAGGGAATCGAATTTTCATCAGAAGGCCCATAAAATTTTAACAAAATTCTCCATATTATTAGAACAAAAACTCATACTTTATACTATTAGTCAGTCTAACAGTTAGACAACTCGACTCTGTTCCTATTTGAACACAAATGCATACTTATACTATTATAAAGAAATGCTACAGTCCCGTTAAGATTTATAACCGTTAGATCATCATGTAACTGTCATGGATAGTTGATCTAACGGTTACAAATCCCGATCGTCATGGATAGTTGATCTAACGGTTACAAATCCCGACGGGAATGGTTCTGTAATGGGCCCGTAGAATCTCTCACTATTATAAGTATACTTCTCTTTATATTGGTTTTTATTTTATTTTTTTCCAAATACGACAATCTATAATAAAAATATGAATATGTGTAGAACTAACACAAGAGCAACCGGAAAAGAATTATTTAACCAACATAAACAAATAAATATATAAACAATAAAATGAAACAGAAACCTGAATAGGCAGAGCATCCATATCGGCCCTGATGGCCACGAACGGCGGCTCGCCGGTTCCCACAGCCGCCCGGATACCCGTCCCCGCCACCGGAAACCGGTACGCCACCCCGAGCCCGTCCAGCTCGCGGCGGACGAGTGCGCTCGTCTCGTGCTCCTCGAAGGCCAGCTCCGGGTTCTCGTGGATCCTCCGCCGCAAGCCACGGACCCACCGCGCGTTTTCCGTCCGCCGCGCGGCCTCGAGTATATCGCCGGCGGGGTCACTGTCCGGGCCGGGCTTCTGACGGCCCGAAGAAGAGAGGTTTAGGGCCGTCAGAGCGGGCTTTCTCAGGGCCTCGAGGGCCGACGAGAAGTAAGACAGGTCGTGGTCGGCGGGCTTTTGAGGGTTCCGTGCCGAGATTTGTTGCGGCGGGCCGGTGGTGACGGTCATGCCGGAGATTAGAGCGAGTGAGAGGGTGATTATGCCGAAGAAGATCTTCATTTTTTTTTCCCCAAAATTTAGATTTGTTGAATTTGCAGACCAAAAATCAAAAAGAGAGAGTTTTTTTTTATTTTTAGTTTTTTTTTTTATTTTTATTTTTGTTTGTTAATTTTGGAGAAACCTATGGGGAAGACGAAAAGAATGGAGAGGATGAAGAAAACACAGAGAGTCCTCATTTATGGGGGTCAGTATTTTAGAGCACGTGATGGATACTGTTGAAAAGACGGTGAATATAAGTATAATAGACAATTTTACATCTACACGTCTTATCAAAATTTAATGTTTTTATTTTATCGTGAGATTCTACGGTTCTGTTACGTAATTATTTTGTCGGATTAATAATCGTTAGATTAACTATCCATAATCATTATATGATGATTTAACGATTACAATAGTTCTGTAAGTATTTTCTCTATCTTTATGTTATTTTGTTATATCATAAAATTGCTAAAAATTACCTTTTTTTTTTTTAAGTAGTGGTGGACTCACATATGGGTATTTATTCTACTTTTATGAAATGGTTTCGAAACAATTGGGAATGAGATATTAATTAAAGTAGACATTTAGGGTGTGGTAGATATAAATATATCTCTTCATAATTATGATTAATTTTTAAAAAGATAATATGATTAGTTGTGAGTGAAATCTTTTGAGATTATACTAAAATAATATTTAAAATAAAATAATTATTGTTGATTTAGTATCTCTTTATAATTATGATTAATTTTTAAAAAGATAATATGATTAGTTGTGAGTGAAATCTTTTGAGATTATACTAAAATAATATTTAAAATAAAATAATTATTGTTGATTTAATATAAAAGTACGATATAGAGAGATGATACAAACTGATATTAGTTAAAACTACAGAAGTGTATTAATAATGAATTAAAATTGATAGTGATAATATTTATTGATATTATTTAATATAGTTGAGTTGAGTTAGATACTGGGTAATATTTTGAATATATTGGACTTATATTTATTCATTATCATGTGTGAAATTTGCCCTTTTTGTATATTTTTTTTATCCTTCGCCTAATACTCATAATATATGTATATATATAGTATTTATTTTTTGTATCAATGTAATTATAGGAAACAAATGGTCCAATCCATAACAAAATATTTAAAATCGATACTGACATAGTTTTAAATGATCTGATATTAGGATCAGAATCAGAAAAAATAAAACCTTTTAAAATCATATTTTTCGAAAGAGTCCACTTTGGTCTGGTTGGATATAAAAAATAAAAATAAAAATAATTTATTTGCCCAATCTAATAAAAAAAAAGACTCACTTACCTCATAATTGAGAGAGCCTCACAAATCATATGATGATATTACGGTTTCGTTACAAAACTTTTGTGTCGGGGTTTGCACCGTTAGATCAACTATCCCTGACAGTTACATTATAATCTAATGGTTACAAACCCGACATAATAATTCCGTAACGAGATCGTAGCATTTTCCCAAATCATATTTCTTGCATCACACAATCTGATTTATGAAAATATTATTCATTCTTTGGTATATCTCTTTACCTAATAAAGGCACGTTTTACGCGGATTTTGAAATTTGCTTCACAATCTATTGGTTGTTCTTGCTTTTATATTTAAAATTATGATACTTTGGAACTAGTCATATAAATTTCAATTAATAGTAAATCACAATTATATGTATTTAAATTATGGTGCCTTGGGAAATTAGTTATAAATTTGAACTTTTTCGGAATTTTATAATCTGAATACTTAGTTAACAATGAATCATAATAAATATTCTTTAATTTATTATGAGTATTTCATAAATGACATATTAAATCAATTATATTCTCGCTATGTTCGATTTGAAATTTTCCTTACTATAACAAAAATATAAATGTCGATATTCATAAAAAAAAAAAATTATAGAACCATGCCTAATAGAAAAAAATGAAATTATTAATTGAAAATTATTATAATATTAGACGAGTTATTTTTATGGACTATACTTGTCATTTACCGAATAAAGACATTTTTTTTTTAGTATGAAGAGAAATAAATCCACTTGAAAAAATTGTATAAGTTTCAGTTAATCATTTATCACTCGTATATATTTATATAGTGATAATCTTGTATTTATATTCATATACTTTTTTATTTTAACCGAGAAAAAAAAATAAAAAGAAAAAGAAAAAGAAAAAGGAGTAAGTGGTGAAAAACGAAAATAAAATTCGGCGCATGAATATTGAATAATGACACGTGGTGAAAATGAAGATAGAGCGCATTGATAGGATTTTATGGAAGTTTGAGGCAGGCCTGTGGGGCCCGCAAAGAGGTCTGCAAGTCTACGGCTCTATTTCCATTTTTTCAAATATATATAAAAAAATAGAGAGATTCAAATTTTCGTTACATAATCATTTCGTTGGACTTATAACACGATGATTTAACGATTTTACAAATCTCAACGGTCTAATTTCATAATGGGACTATAATATTTTCTTAAAAAAATAATAATTTCATATATCTTACATTTATGTTTTACAAGAGTGACATGAATTTTGATGGTAAAGTACATCATTCCACCCGAATCGGGCAGTTCATCGTATCACCGGACGATTCCTTT